CCATCACCACCATCATCGCCACCATCACCACCACCACCATCGCCACCATCACCACCACCATCATCATCATCACAATCATCACCACCATCATCATCACAATCATCACCTCCATCATCATCACCACCACCATCATCACCACCATCATCACCACCCTCATCAACACCATCAACACCCTTATCATCACCATCACCACCATTAGCACCAACATCACCATCATCACCACCATCATCCTCATCACCATCACCATCATTGTCACCATCACTATCACAACCATTACAGCCACTTTAACTGAGATTCTGCCGTGTGCCAGGCATACCATATGTTTGTCTTCTATTTTAAGCCTCTTAGCAACCCTGAGAGTTAGGTATAATTATCTGCACATTATAGAGGAGGGATTTCAGAGCCCAAGGAAGACAAGCAGGTTGCCCAAGACAGCACAGGAAGGTACTGGTTTAGATCCCATGGAACCCAGACTGCCACGTCTCCCTGCCTTGCAACTGCACCTAACTAAGGCTGCTTCTTAATCCCCTCCTCTGACTCATATCCTGACTGAAGGCACTGTGTCCCCACCCTGGGACCGTCTCTTTCCCAACATCATTCCGCAGAGTGCCCGGTACGACCTCCCTTTCTGCTTGAGGTTGTACAGCAGTCTCTGTTGGCCCTGAGCCAGCCTCACGCAGCCACACGCATCCCGTGTGTGTGTAGCAAGAGGAAGGGGACACAGCGAGGAGGCCGGCACGTCGGTGACTCAGGGAGGACAGGGCTTCGGGTTAGGAAAGCTTGTGTGGGGTGCGTGACAAAGGCCAGGGGCCCTCCATCCCTCCTGGACAGTTCATTGTGAGCTCCCGGAGGATGCTGATGTGTTCAGAGCTGTGTGTCCCTGAATCACTTCGAGTCGCCGTCTGGACCGGCCTCTCTTACTACATCAGTGAGACATCTCAACGGTTGGGCAGGGGGGGCCTGAGAGAAGATAAAAAGGCCACAGCAGCATCCCAGGCAGAGGCATGAGGGATTCATGGGGCTGGACCCCAGAACACTTGCTGACTTCCTGTCCAGGGCCATGGGGCCACCAAAAGCAAGCCTGTGACCCTCCACAATGGCCCCTGGGATGTAATGCAAGGCAGGGTGTCCAAAACAGAGGTGCCCCCAGGCATCTCTACCCCATGCTGCAGCGGAGGGACAGATGGGTGGGGCTGGATAGCAGCAGGCTGGCGCCAATGGCACCAGGACCCTGGAGCGGGGACAGCTCTCACCTCGACAAGGGCTCCCTGGTGCGCGGGGAGGAAGTCACTCGGCCCTGGAGCCAGAAGTCTGTCCTTAACTTAGGTCTGGAGAAGGGGCAGATGCAGCCTTCTTCGCCTGGGCCTGGCAAACTGGGGCCCACGGGCTAAACTGGCCCGCTGCCTGTTTTATAAATAAAGTTTTATTGGCACACAGCCTCGCGCATTAACCTGCACAGTGTCTGCAGCAGCAGAGCTGAGGAGCTATGAAGAAGACCACGTGGTCTGAAAAGCTGGAATATTTAATAAGGGGTCTTCGCAGAAAAAGCCTGCTGGACCCGCTAACCTAAGGCATTGGGTGGTGGAGGGGGGAGGAGGGCACCTCTGGGCCCGCCTGAAGCCATCAGCCGACGGGTGGGGACAGATCCAGAGCACAGAGACTGAGATCGGTCAAATCCAGCCCCGTTAATCACCCGGGATACAGACTCCCAAACGTCTTAACCTTTTCTACTAAAAAGGTTACACCCTCAGAGACCATCATTATTTCACCATTATTTCAGGTGACAGAAAACATACTTTTTCTCTTTGGTTTCCTAGGTTTTTTTTAATGACAAAATATGCTTAAAATCTACTGGGGAAAATGAAGGGACGCTCTTCCTGTCTGAGGCAATAATTAGGAAGCACATGTTGGAGCAGATGTTTTCCCAGCCAAAGCCAAGCCTCCTGACGAGTGTTTTCCTAGTGCAGCTGAGAAGACACCTCCAGGCTCATCAAGCCATTCCGGCATCCAGCGCCGAGGAGCACCGAGTGCCCAGCTGCACGCAGATCCCCTCAATATGCCTTGTTAGGATGGTGGCCAGGGGCTCTCAGAATACGCCCTGAAGCCCGGCTCAGTCACTCCCCCAACCCCACGCGGCCAAGCTTCTCTCCTGCGCCAGGCACAGGGGACACCCTGGAAGATGGCAGTTTATGCCCCCGAGAAAGTGGGACCAAGGGGAAGGGACAGCAGGAAAGGCCTATTCATGGCCTGGTCCTTCACGTTGGCTGTACTGCCAAGGGCTGCAGAGTGAAAAATACAGCTAACTCTACCAGGGGCTCCTCAAAGAAAGGCTTGACTGAGGATTAGATATCTAAATTGGGTTTTGAAGAATGCACAGGAGTTGTCCAGGGTAAGAATTCAAGAGGGTGCAGTAGGTAGAATCAAAGTGGGACTTCAGAGAGGCTAGAGGGGGCCTGGGATGGGGCAGTCACGGAGTGAGCAGGGTAAAGGACTTGAGTGTAGGCAAAGGCTGGAGATTTCACTCACAAAGATGGAATCATTACTTCGGATTTGATGGCAGAGAGAGGACAAGCAGAGTGGATACAGCTTGGGGTGGGGGCTAGCAGTCACCCTAATCCACGATCTCCTCACTATTCCTCCAGGGTGTGGATCCCCCGACCCCCTCTTTGCTGGGCTGTTCCATGGAGTGTCCACACCTCCCCCACCTCCAGACCTGAAGCTCCTTGAAATCAGAGAAAGAGAAGAACGGAAGAAACAGGGCAGCGGAGCCTGCCACCAGGGACGGCCGGGACAGCCGTGGCTTCGGGCACCAAGGAAGCTGGCCTCGCCCCTTGGAGCAGTGCCCCGCCCGTCTCCAGGGAGCCCGGCCCCTCCTCATGCCCTCCACCAGCCCTGCCGCTGGCTCAGCCCTCCCCACTGCCTCGAGGAGGGGCCGGGGCTTCCCCAAGTTACTCCCTACGTGGCAGCGAGGTGCTCCCCCAGCACGGGGTGCACCCCCCATTTGGGGTTCAGCCCCAGGGAGGGCAGGGGTTGCACCCCCCCATCACTGCTTCCTGAACACACTCATGTCTGGCTCGCCTTGGTTTCAGTCCGTCTGACACAGAAGAGTGTGGGCTTTGTATTTAAACTGTTCACATCGAGGCTCCAAATGAAGTAAAAGTGGGGTCCTGAAGAGGTCTCTGCACCCCCATGTTCGCAGCAGCACTACTCACAACAGCCCAGAGGTGGGGGCCACCTGTGCCCCTGGCGGATGAATGCATAGAATGTGGTCCATCCAGACAGCAGAATATTATTCAGCCTTAAAAAGGCAGTAAATCCAGACACAGGCTACACCCCGATGAACCCTGAAGTCAGGAAGCTCAGTGAAGGAAGCCGGACACAGCAGGACAAACGCTGCAGGATTCCTCTCCCGAGAGGTCCCTAGGGTTGTCGTTCTCAGAGACAGAAAGCAGACGCTGGGGGCCGGGGCTGGGGATGGCAGGGGAGGACTGAGTGTGCAGTGGGAAAGATGGAAAGCTCTGGAGATGGTGACAGTGGTCATACAACGTGAATGCACTTAATATCACTGAACAGCATACTTAAAATTAGCTAGGTGGGCAAGTTTTGGTTATGTTTTATATGTTTTATCACAATTAAAAAGAGAAAGCCCGCTGGGGACGTGCTTGACATGCAGTGGCCCCATCGAGGTCTGGCGGGGTGCCATCACGGTATCCGGGGCTCTGTCAGCTGCACCCCTCCCCACCCAGGATCCGCCGAGGGATACGTGCAACACTGTAACTGCAGAGTCTGCACCCTCAGCTATGCGGGCTTCCTGTGCCCAGCCCCGACACGTCCCGGGACCACGCCTCTCACCTCCCAACTCCACTTCCTCTTCAGCAACAGGGATAACCATTCTCAAAGAAGCAGGTGAGACCTACCCCCTACTACGCCCCAAATGTTTGCATCTCCCCAAATTCCTGTGCTGAAGCCCTAAGCCCCAAAGTGACTGCACTGGGAGCTGGGTCTTCAGGAGGCAGTTAGGTTAAATGAGGTCGTGAAGGTGGGGCCCTGATCTGATGGGATTAGTGGCCTTATGAGAGGAGACACCAGAGCTCTTTCTCTCCACTGCATGGGGGCACAGGGGGAAGGCAGCTGGCTGCAAACCGGGAAGAGAGACTGGAATTCTCCAGGGACTAGGCAGGCCAGCACCTCAACCTCAGGCTCCTGGGCGCTGGGACTGTGAGAAAGCCGTGTCTGCTGTTTGAGCCGCCCCACCTGCGGGCTGCGCTAGGCCGCCGGAGCGGACGCAGACGCAGACGCTGCCCCTGCAAGGAGCACAGCGCGGCCCTGGTCCTGGCGTTGGCGCGCTGGGGGCGGGCGTGGGGCGCGAGCCTGGCTCACTGACCTGGTTGTAGAGGGCGCAGATGTGCAGCGCGGTGTTCCCGGAGGCGTTCTGCGCCCCCATGTCAGCTCCATAGAAAAGCAGGTGCTCCAGGTGCTGCACGTGCCCATACCTGCAGGCCTGAAACGAGAGTCCACGCTGTGAGCCCGGGCGCCACCCGGGACGCCCCAAGCCCCCCAGGCACGCAGCCGCCTCCCCTGGAACCGACCGTGTGGTCAACACAGCCCGACCCCTGCCCCCACTCTAGACAGGCCTCGCGCGTCAGCATCCCTGGGTGGGGATCAGAAGGAGCCAGTGATGGGTCTGAGGACTGTGCTCAGCTGTTCGACGGGGGTTCTGCAAGGTGGCCCCTGCAGCACCCAGCTCCTCCCATTTAGAACCACGGGACCGGAAGCCCAGAGAGACCCACGGCATGTCTTTGCCTCCAGCCTCAGGAACCAGCCCAGCAAGTATAATCCAGGATGCTCCATCCCCGGCCTTGCTTACCCAAGCTCCCCGCCCTGGGAGGAGGCGTGAAAGCAGCCCGGAGAGGTGCAGGCACCCGGCTGTGTCCTGGGCAGAGACCCCGCCTGCCCTCCTCTGGGCTAGGGGCATCCGGTTACTGCTTTAAACTGTAACCCACCCTGAAGAGAGCGCGAGGCGGGAGCAGCCCCACAGTGTGATTTACCCTTTCCTGAGCCCTTCTAAGGGGTGATGTGTGATTTGTGAGCCAACAAGGCTCTGGGTCAATCGGATCAGGCCCCCTTTTCCCCGAACCTCACTCTGAGCCTGTGTCTTCATGTGTGAACAGAAACCCTACTCCTCACGAGAGTCACGTGCATAAGGGACCTGAAAGGACCCCCCAGTGCTGCTCACAGGGAGCAGGGAGGCCCTGCAATGTGACCGGGCACTGCTGTCCAGCTCAGGCAGAGGGTCCAACAGACACTGCTCGATGCTGGGGCAACCCTTGACCTGGGCAGCAAGTCTTATCCAACAGACCCACCCCATCCACCGCCACCTCCTAGACACCCAGCGACAGGCAGCGTGAGGGCGTGAGACCCGCCATCCCGGGGACGGGGCAACAACCTGGATGGGGAGATGTGGAAGGCAAGGAAAGTGGGGTCCTGACCCCACACTGCTCACAGGGAGGGCGGGGAGGCACCCAGTGGGGAGGAAACAGCGGCCACACGGGGACAGGCAGCGGTGGGGGGTCGGGGCCGGGCTGCACAGTGACCAGAGGAAGGGGCGCTCATTAACCCTGCCTTTCGATCACTGAGGCAGGCCGAGGGAACCTGACCTCTGCCCAGTCCACGAGAAGCAGCTACACCTCACCAATTAACACTGAGGACGGATGACAGGCAAGACACGGGAAGCATACACTGGATGAGCTTAAAAAAAAACAAAACCCCGAGTCACTCACAAGCTCTGTGCCTCCCATAAAATCCTCCGTTTATAGAGCAGATCGTCACCGTAGATACAGTGCTTTTACCTGCCCGCCCCTCACCCCCTTTTTGGGACAAGAGCACCTGCATCCTCCTTTAGGGACCACCCGAACCCGCTCCCAGGGGCCCGGGGCCCGGCCGCGCCCCTGCAGCCGGCACAGAACGTTCCACTCCTGACAGACGGGGCTGCGGATGCCCATGTGGCCCTCGGGGCCCTTGACGACTGAGGCCGGAACACCTGCTGCAACGACTGAGAAAGTGGAATTCTCTTTCCCCCAGGATGGCCGGCAAAGAAGTCACGGGAGCCCAGAGCCGCTGGGCCACCAACACAGGGGAACAGAGGCGAGGGAGTCACAGGAAGGAGAGAAAACAAGACACACACACCCCCACCCCCCACCCCAAGGTGATGCCGCGTGAACCCCTTCAGCCACGACCACGCCTGGACTCCTTAGGACACAGTGTAGGCATAATTTTCATTCTCCCCTTAAACCAGTCTGAACTGGGATTTTTGTTCCTTCAATTTCAGGAGCCCAGCTCACCAGCTCCCGCCAAAGGGCCTCCAGGAGGCAGGACTGTGCCACGGCGCAGCCGAAATACCCTGTCATCAGCACAGAGGGGGCCGTGTGAGCGTGAGGACACTGAGCAACCAGCCCGGGCTCCTCGCCCGCCCTCCCTCAGTTAAGCTGAAATCGTGAGACTTCACGTCACACCCTCGGGATGGCGTCACCCTCTTCTTACCAAGAGCCACAACAGGCTCAGCGCTAAGAGGGAAAACAGAGCTGTTAACTCTGAGCAGACCGCCTGGGAAAGGCCCCCCGAGGGCCTCCTTCCCGCTCCAGTCTTCTCTCTCCCAGCCTGTTGTTTTAAAACAAAGCCAAACGAATTCAGACAAACACTGAAACAAAAACAAAACCTCCCCTAGCCCCACAGTGGTGCAGTCTGCCATTCACTTCACTCTTCTAAAGGGTCCTCTTTGCCAGTCTCCTCTTTTAAACCACGGCTGTTACCTGACAGTAGCTGTGCTTGCTGGCGCAGCAGCCTGGTGGGCGAGGAGGGGGTGAGGGGGCCCGAGGGAGGTGGCGGCCAGACGGGTCAGCAGCCGGGCTGCGTGCAGCGGGCTGAGCAACAGGCCCATAAAGGAGGGGCAGGGAGCAGGCTTCCCACTGGTGAAGGGAGCTACCAACGACGTGCAGGAGAAAACCAGAATGAACTCTGGGGACGGTGCCAGGAAAGCACATGGCTTCCAACACAGAGAGAAGCCAAGAAAACGTGCAGACCTGCGTGGACGCAGGTCCCCAGCTCCCGCGCCCGAGAGGGCCGGGGATCAGCAGCAGCCCGGGAGCGGCGAGCACGCTCAACGCCAGGCCTCGGGTCCTAACCCCACCCTGTGCTCCGAGAGGCCAGGACTCCTCACGGAAACGGCCAACTCCGGCGCCACGGCAGGAGAAGGACAAGATGAGCTTGGAACACCTTGCTGAGCGAGAAGCAAAGATGTGCTCAAGAAAGGATGCGGACAGGGCCAAAGGACAAACAGGCCATGCTGACGGGGCTCCCACGGGCCCCAAGAGGGACAGCACGAACAGATCGTTGACCTGCTGAATGAACAGAAATCCACGAAACCGCACTGCCGTAAACAAGGGAACAAACAGACAAGAAGAGAGAGCTCTTCCCGGTAACAGGAAGCCAACCAACTAGCGTGAGACAAGGACGGGGTGGGAAATCTCCGTTTAGCAATTAATCGCTTAATTCAGGCAGGAAACACCAGCGGATGCTGAAGCCATCAGGAGAGAGAAGGGTGGGAGGAGGGGTTTTCCCAAACAGTGCGAAGACCCCGGAAAACACCAACCAGAAAGGGAAGCAGGAGCTGCGGTGGAGGCCCCGCCGAGTCCGCCCGAGCTGGTGGTCAGAGCGAACGTCGCCAGTGACAGCAAACGGCCACCACGCCCCACCCGGGCGGACGCACTGCCCGAAACGCGCGTCCCGCTTGTCATCGTGAGGGAGCAGCGAGCAAACCCAGTCTGGGGGACAGCCTCCCGCAGGACCAGCCCCGCCGCCTTCAACACAGTCCCTGAGAGAATCGAGGGAAGACGGATGACGTCTCCCAGGCGGAAGGGCTCACGCAGGGTCCCTGACTGGCTGCTACGACCATGAGGGCCATTACTGGGACAAGGGGAAAGACGCAGAGTGGCCTCTGGGTGAAGGGTATGTGGGAGTTCTCTGTCCTGTTCCCGCAACTCCTCTGTAAGCCTGAAATTGAAATAATAGTCACTCACAATTAAAAAAAAAGAAATTTGTACTTGTTTATCACAAAGAACCTCAAAGCTTACCAGAGTAAGAACCCGTCCTCCCCCAAGATGAGCCGTGCTAACCCCCGTCCTTTTTTTTTAAAGAGGTGTTGTGCTTTCTGGCCCTTGGGAGACAGATTAAAAGGACTGACAGAGCCAGAGAGTAACTAGAATGGAAAAGAAAACAGCATGCCTCCAACTCGCTTAGCCATTCTGTCGGAGATGCCTTCTGGAAAACGCACGTCTCCTGCCTGCAAATCTCCGGGCACGTGCACTTGGAGGCGGTGCCCCACGAGATCTGGGATTCACCCCAGCTCTGCTGGGTGTCCCCGTCACAGGCCAAACACATAATTTGCGTAAATTAGGGACAAGGGTGCTCCTTCCTTCAAGCGCTTCACTGCCACCTGCTGGACACCTGTTGTGATGACCCTTCAAGCCTGAATTTACAGCAAATGAAACAACGCCCCCTGGGGTTGTGCAACTCAACTGGAGCAATGCGAAGTTCACTGCGTTGCAAATGTTTCTGCTTGGTTCAGTGCCACAAGTAAAATTATCTAAGTCCCCACCACACAGGCATTTCTCCTACAACATGTGCTTTGCAACATGAGCTGGAGATTGCACAGCTGAACAGTCAGACTACAACGGTTGTCCCCCCAGCTTAGGCGCCGGCAGGCCCCTCACCCAGACACACGAAACACTCCATACCCCGTGGAGCCACTGGCTGCTCTGTGGCCCTGCGTTCCCGGGTCTTCAATGGCTGGCGGTGGTCATGCTGGCGGCCCAACAGGGAGTCAGGGGACTGGGCCATGAGTGTACGGACTGCAGCGCAAACCACAAAAAGTGGGTAGTTCTGCTCTGATCAGTGCTATGGCCTGAGCTCTGTTCCCCAAATTCATATGTTGAAACCCTAAGCCCCAGCACCTCAGAATGTGACTGCATTTGGAGATGGGGGTCTTTAAAGAGGAGATTAAGGTAAAATGAGGTTACTAGGGTGGGCCCGAATCCTACATGATGAGTGTCCATATAAGAGGAGATCAGGACACAGACACACACAGAGGGACACCACGTGAGGACCCGGGGAGAAGACGGCCATCTCCACGCCAAGGAGAGAGGCGCCAGGAGGAGCCGACCCCGCCCACCCCTGGGCCTCGGACTCCCACCCCCAGGACTGTTGTCTGAGCTGCCGGGGCTGCAGGACTTTGTTACCACAGCCTTTAATAAACCAATACGATCAGTTCAGGTCAACTACTTTGTGAGGTTCAGGCTGAAAAGTGACATAAGAGACGTGATGCTCAGAATTCCAAAAGGAAAGGTCCCAGTATTTTGACGTCTAAGGGGATGCCCCCCAACTTTCCCCATGGACCCCACTGCTTTAAAATGTGATTTCTGGATACAAGAGGTCCCTGAAGACTCA